GATGTACTCTTCCATAAAATAATAGTAAACAACTTCAAGAAATAATAATATTGATATACTTGTCTGATCTTACTGTCCATGTTCCGGTTTTGTCAATTATCCCAATAATATCCTTTATAGCATTATTTTTTTTTTTTTAGTATAGAAAGTAAGTCAGGATCATGTATTGTATTTAGTTTTTATGTCTCTTTAGTTTCCTTTAATCTGAAATAGTTCCCCAGCCGTTCTTTATCTTTACGACATTAATAGTTTTTAAGAATATAGGTCTGACTCCCTTTTTATTTATTTTACTTAAAAAGTTTTTTTTTCTTTATTGATTTTGGAGAGAGGAAGGGAGAGGGAGAGACAGAAACATCAGTGAGTGAGAACATTGATAGGCCGCCTCCTGCTCACAACCTGGGCATGTGTCCTGACCAGGAATTGAACTGGCGACTTCTTGGTGCATGAGTCAATGCTCAACCACTGAGCCACACCATTTGGGCTATGAGACTTTTCTAAATCAGCCCTCTGTCTCTGCCATCTCAGCTGGAAGACCGACTTGAGAAGTGGTTGGAGAAGACGTTGCCTGGCAGTGACTGGACACCCAATTCTCGGTTCATCATTCGTTCTTGGCTTCGGGATGGTCTCAAGCCACGTTGCATCACCCGAGACCTCAAGTGGGGAACTCCTGTACCCTTAAAAGGTTTTGAGGACAAAGTAAGAATCCCACGCTTACTTATATCTCATTATTCAGCCTTGGGGTTGAGACCCTGGGATAGCAGAATATACTGTTGACTATGTCTTGTTCCAGTGTGAGACTTTGGGGTGGTGAGGTATTCCCAATTTTTCAAAAAATTGTATTTATCGGGGTTACATGGGTCAATAAAATTATATAGGTTTCAAGTGTATTCCTGATTTGTTTTTTATTCTACCATGTTTCTCTCCTCTTGACCTTCCAGGTATTCTATGTCTGGTTTGATGCCACTTTTGGATATCTGTCCATCACGGCCAACTACACAGACCAATGGGAGAGATGGTGGAAGAACCCAGAGCAGGTAAGCAGTTATTGGTTAGCCTGTTTATGGGGAGGGTGTATGTGTGTTTAGGGGTTGGATATTTGATCTTTCTTAGGTCTTTGAAGGTCTCAGGAGCTCTGTCTTCCAACTATATTCTGTAGGTGGATCTCTATCAGTTCATGGCCAAAGACAATGTTCCCTTCCATGGCTTAGTCTTTCCTTGTTCAGTCCTAGGAGCTGAGGACAACTACACCTTGGTCAGCCATCTCATTGCTACAGGTACCCCGGAAGACTGGAGTAGGAATATTCCTAGGGAATGAGGGCTGTGGCAATACTTGGAAGATTCTGGAAAAGTGCTAGATCTTGAGTTAGGAGTTGAGATGAGATAGGAAATTTGAACATGAGAACTCAACCCAGAAGGGAACAAAAACCTGAAGAAAGCCAAGAGTCCAAAGCTAAAACTGTAATGGGTAGAAGCAAAGCGGGGAAAGGCCAGAATGGAGAGACAGGATGTCCCAAGTTTTCTGCAGGCTAGCTACTGAAGGAGAAGTGTTGCTGAACACCCATAGTTGAGTTCAAAAAAGAAAGGAAAGTTAGTAGGTCAGAGAGAGAAGGATGTGATTTGAGCAGATGGTTCTCATTCATTCTCTTTCTCTGTCTAGAGTATTTGAATTACGAGGATGGAAAATTCTCTAAGAGCCGGGGTGTGGGAGTGTTTGGGGACATGGCTCAGGATACAGGGATCCCTTCTGACATCTGGCGCTTCTATCTGCTATACATTCGGCCTGAGGGCCAGGACAGTGCCTTCTCCTGGACAGATATGTTACTGAAGAATAATTCTGAGCTGCTTAACAATTTAGGCAACTTCATCAATAGGTGAGATTTGATGAGGGATCAGTCAGCAGATGAACTGGGGTGGTGCTAACTGCTCCATAAGTGGGACAGATGGGAATGCGAAGATGCTTAGTGAATGGGCAGGAGGCTGGGAGGGGTGGGGAGGACGATGTGGAAAGTGGATTTCTATCAATTGGGATTTGCTGCTAGCACATAGTAGGCTATATATGCTTGGGAGGAAGTTGGTTGTAGAGATGTGATTTAGCAAAGTTGGTCACAAAGTTTCACAGGTTGTTTTCTTATTAAAGATATTCTTTGTAGAATTGGAAATGTGTTCTCACAAAGAAGTTCCTTTGCAGACATTTGAATTGACTAAAGAAAGGATTTTAGTGTAGGAGTAGGAAATGTCTGCTCTACTCTTTGGAGTTTTTGTTACTTTAGCTCACATTTCATTTTTAGTCCCTACATGGGCTATTCTGAGATTTAAAGAAATATCCTCAATGGCTCCCTTTCAGGTTTGGTCATTAACTACATTTAACAGATAGTCACTACTAGAGTATTTGATAGCAATTTACATATATTTCAACTTGATTATTCTGAGTGCTGATTTTTTTTTTTTCTTTAGACAGAGAGGAAGGGAGAGAGAGCTAGAAACACATGCCTCCTGCATGCCCACTTCTGGGGATAGAACTTACAATCCAGGCATGTGCCCGGACCAGGAATCAAACTGGGACCTCTCAGTCCATGGGACAACGCTCAATCCACTGAGCCACACTGGCTCGGCTGAGTGTTGATTTTTTAAAAATAAAATGAACACTTGCTTAACTTTCTCTGGTTTCTTTAAAAATTTTTTTTCTTTATTAATTTTTAGAGAGAGAGGAAGGGGGAGGGAGAGAGAGATAGAAACATTGATGAGAGAGAACATCATCAGGAGGTTGGCCGCCTCCTGCATGCCCCCACTGTGGATTGGGCCCACAACCCGGGCATGTGTCCTGACCAAAAATTGAACTGGCGACCTCTTGGTGCATGGGTCAGCGTTCAACCACCGAGTCACACCGGCCAGGCAATCTTGGTTTTTTTAAACAAGGGATATGGTATGTGAAATGTCTGTTATGTGTAGTCATATTCTTAGGGGAGAGAATAAGGAATTACTTTGTTAAGCTTTGCCTTCCAGCTTGAGGGAGCCAGAAAGTATCAGTTCTGAGAGAATGTAGAATTATGAAAATTGGGTCAAATTTCTGTAAGGAGACTGGGAACTAACTCCTTTTTCTCTCACCCCTTTTTCCCTACTTCTATCAAGAGCTGGGATGTTTGTGTCAAAGTTTTTTGGGGGTTATGTGCCCGAGATGGTGCTTACCTCTAACGATCAGCGCCTACTGGCCCATGTCGCCCTGGAGCTCCAGCACTATCACCAGTTGCTCGAGAAGGTTCGGTAAGTCATCTACACTTGTCTCATCTCAGTGATCTGCTGGCATGTTGAGATCCCCATACTGGTCCCTCCAGGACTTGACACCGTGGCCTGCCTCCCCCCTTCCCAGGATCCGTGATGCCTTACGTAGTATCCTCACCATCTCTCGTCATGGCAACCAATACATTCAGGTTAATGAACCCTGGAAGCGGATTAAAGGCAGTGAGGCTGATAGGTAGGTAAGGAGGGAGGGTTGGCTACAGGGATAAAGTGGTAGGCTTGGAGGTCCTGACTAATTTCTCTTTTTACCTAGGCAGCGGGCAGGAACAGTAACAGGCTTGGCAGTGAATATAGCTGCTTTGCTGGCCATCATGCTCCAGCCTTACATGCCCACGGTTAGCTCTATGATTGCGGCCCAGCTGCAGCTTCCACCTCCAGCCTGCAGTATCCTGCCCACAGACTTCCTGTGTACCTTACCAGCAGGACACCAGATTGGCACAGTAGGTCTCTGAGGATTGAACAGCCAGTTTCTTAAAATTCCAACATTTGCTATGCAGCTTTTGGGGAGGGTCAGAAGAGAACTTACTTTGGGCATGGGACTCTCACAGCTATTCTCTGAAACCCTTCCGCACTCCCCCAACTCTACACTTAGGCTTGTTACTGATATCAAGTCCTTGGCATTGGTTCACAAGCCTAGTGTTATCTGTAGCCCATATTTTCTCATTGTCCTTCATGCCAAAACCCAGTACCTGGTACATGAAACTAACTGATATACAGTCTGAAGTAACACCACAGTCACCTGGTCTTCATAATGCTAGCAGGCAGTGAGCTGTGAGAATACAGGGTAGCCATTTCCTCTTTGACACAAGGTGATAAAATAAGTCTACCTCTAAACTTTTGCATCAACCTAACACCATTAAACATTTAGTCTTGATCCTATTAGTATTTCTGAGATTCTTTGCTGAAATCAGCAGGTATTTGCTCAGTGATATACCCACTTTTCTTTTAAAGCATTTAGAGTCCCTGAATGTCAGTGATTGGGGGTTGGAGAGGCCCTCTGTATAGTCTGGTAGAATTTATACCTAACAGTGAATGATTCTGGAATTTTTTTTTTTTTAATAGATCAGTCCCTTATTCCAAAAATTGGAAAATGAACAGATTGAAAGTTTGAGGCAGCGCTTCGGTGGGGGCCAGGTGAGAAAGCTAGACTGTGCTCTAGCAACAGCTACAGTGCCATCTCCTTACTAGTCCTCACTCATCACTCTTTCCATCTTTTGGCCCTGCTACTTCCTCACTTAAAGTTTTTCTTTCCTGTCCTAGCTAGAAGAGTCCTTGGCGTTAAAGGTAATCACTTTCTGCGAGATGTTATATAAAACTTGAGATTGGGATATTTAAGATAGCAGGTGATAACTCTGTTGTTTTTCTCCAGGCAAAAGTGTCCCCCAAACCAGCAATTGTAGAGACTGTGACAATTGCTAGACCACAGCAGATACAAGTGCTGATGGATGAAGTGACAAAACAGGTATGAAGCTTGAACTCTGCATGGAAGACCAGAAAACTTGAACCCTACATAGGTCCTTTCTGGTCTCACTGTTGTTGTTCCCCCTTCCCCCACCCTATTCTCCTAGGGCAACATTGTCCGAGAACTGAAAGCACAAAAAGCAGACAAGAACCAGGTTGCTGCAGAGGTGGCTAAACTCTTGGATCTGAAGAAGCAGTTGGCTCTAGCTGAGGGGAAACCCCTTGAAACCCCTAAAGGCAAGAAGAAAAAGTGAAAGTGAACTTGGCTCATAGTCACTTTAATGGATATGGACAGTAATAAATAAATATGTAATCTCTATATACATACCGAGACCCTTTCTTGTTGTCTACCCCAAGCTTTCCCCCTACTGAGGTATGGGGTTGAGGGTCACATCATTGACACTGGTGAGAAGGTTGTTAGTAGCCACTTCTGGGAAGAGATGGTACTGGCCTAAGGGGGAAGTAGTGGTCCCAAATGTTCATGCTTGGTGCAGACTGACCATTCGGTCAATTAGAGCTTGGCGAGTCACCTCCACTTCTCTGGTCAGACGCTCGATTTCCTGCTTGAGCCGTTCATTCTCTTCAGCTAGCTGTGCCACTTTCCTTTCATTCTCTTGTTCTTTATCCTTCATGCGTTGCTTTCCAGCCCGGGCTGGGGACTGACCACTCCGTTTCCGTTTCCTGGGTATTCCTTGGTCTTCCTCTTCCTCCTCCTGAGCCAGGGAGCTCTGACTGGAATCTGGAGAGCGAGGGCTCTGGGAGGTGCTTGTGACCTCTGCTGGCCCTGGCTCCTCAGTCAGCCAAGCCAGAGAGGCAGGATCAAGAGTGGTGAAAGTTTTTGCTTCTTCCTTCAAGGGAATGTGGAAAGATAGGTGCTATTAGTTGAGAAGGGAAGATCAACACCCACCCCCCCCAGCTTTATGTGTAGCATTCTCACCTCATTTCCAGAGGGTGAAATATAGGCACCCCTATTTTCATCTGAGGACAACACCTCCTGCAGGTCTTCATACCAGGCTTCCAGTTCCCAGCTGGACAGTGTCCCGAAGGAGAAAGGCAAAGACTCGGCTGCCATCACTGCAGCTGGATCAGGCTCTGGAAAATGATATGTGGGATAGTGGGGTTGCGGGGAATGGTGGGTGGAACAAGCACCACAAAGCAAACACTCTATACCACGAGTTGGCAAACAGGCTTGCTGCCTGTTTTTGCAGTAAAGTTTCACTGGAACACGGCCACATCTGTTGATTTACATTTTTTTTCAAATAGTTTTTTTTTTTTTTTAAGATAGAGTGGGAGGGCCCTGGCCAGTTTGGCTCAGCGGTTAGAGCGTCGGCCTGTGGTCCGGAGAGACCCAGGTTCGGTTCCCGCTAAGGGCACGTACTTCGGTTGCAGTTTGTCCCCGGCTCTGGTTGGTCGTGCGGGTGGCAGCCACTCGATGTGTCCCTTTCACGTCGATGTTTCTCTCTCTCTCTCTTCCTCTCTCTCCCTCCCACTCTATCTGTACAAAAGATGGAAAAATGTCCTCGGGTGAGGATTAAAAAAAAAAAAAAGATAGAGTGGGAGGGAGAGGGAGGAAGAGAGAGAGAGAAACGTTGACGTGAAAGGGACACGAGTGGCTGCCTCCCACACGACCCAACCAGTGCCAGGGACAAAGTGCAACTGAGGTACATGTCCTTAGTGGGAACTGAACCCGGGTCTCTCTGGACCACAGGCCGACGCTCTAACCACTGAGCCAAACCAGCCAGGGCTCAAATAGGTTTTTATTGATTTTTTTTTAGAAAGGAAGGGAGAGATAGAAACATCAGTGTGAGAAAGAAACATGGGCTGCCTCCTGTATGCCCCCCACTGGGGACCGAGCCCGCAACCCAGGCATGTGCCCTGACTGGGAATTGAACCAGGACCTCTGAGTCCATGGATGACACTCAATCTTCTGAGCCACACCGGCCAGGTGATTTACATATTTTTTAGGGCTGCTTTTATGCTATAACAGTGGAGATGAATAGTTGTGACAGAAACTGTGTGGCCCTCCATATCTAAAATATTTACTATCTGGCCCTTGAAAATTTACCAACCCCTGGTCTCGACTAAAATTCCCTCCTTGTAGCCCTGGCCAGTTTGGCTCAGCGGTTAGAGGGTCGGCCTGCGGTCCGGAGAGACCGGGGTTCAGTTCCCGCTAGGGGCGCGTACTTCGGTTGCAGTTTGTCCCCGGCCCTGGTTGGTCGTGCGGGTGGCAGCCACTCGATGTATCCCTTCGCGTGGATGTTTCTCACTCTCTCTCCCTTCCTCTCTCTCCCTCCCACTCTATCTGTCCAAAAAATGGAAAAATATCCTCGGGTGAGGATAAAAAAAATAAAAATAAAAATAAATAAATAAAATTCCCTCCTTGCTTTTGCCCAGCACTTAAAACAGCAAGTGCCTAAATATACATTCATATGGAATCCTAGTAAAAGTTAGCCACCCTGAGGAACTCCACTGGTAGTTTCCAGGGGCAATTACCACACCATCTGTGCTCCTTCCTCCTGTGTGGGGAGTCTTATGGGTTAATCTAACCTTGACAGATTGAGGTATGGTAAGACAAACCAATTATCTTTGTTGGGGCTGTCTGCTTACTCAGAGCCAGCTTTCTTTTTTGGGGGGGGGGCACCCGAAAATATTTTTCAATAGATTTTTCTTTAAAATTTTTTTTCTTTATTGATTTTAGAGAGAGAGGAAGGGAGGAGAGAGAGAGAGAGAGAGAGAGAGAGAGAAACGTCGATAAGAGAAAACATTAATTGGCTGCCTCCCGAATGCCCCCCACTGGGGATCTGGCCCACAACCCGGGCATGTGTCCTGACTGGGAATCAAACTGGTGACCTCTTGGTGCATAGTTCAATGCTCAACCACGGAGCCACACCTGCCGGACCACAGCCAGTTTTCAATTAGACATGCTCTAAGAATATTGATTTGGTCACCTTGTTAGGAGGCAGGCCAGGTGGATGGACGTGGTCTGATACCAGAAGTCTGCTCAGATGCAAACCCTCCTCTCATATCTTTAGGCATTTTCAAAACTTCTTAGGGTCTCAATAAAGGAAGCCTAAACAGCATCTCTTAGAAGTTAGTTTTGGGAGCCCTGGCCGGTTTTGCTTAGTGGTTAGAGCATCGGCCTGTGGTACAGAGAGACCCGGGTTCGGTTCCCGCTAAGGGCACGTACCTCGGTTGCAGTTTGTCCCCGGCCCTGGTTGGTCGTGCGGGTGGCAGCCACTCGATGTGTCCCTTCACATCAATGTTTCTTTCTCTCTCTCTTCCTCTCTCTCCCTCCCACTCTATCTGAACAAAAAATAGAAAAATGTCCTCGAGTGAGGATGAAAAAAAAAGTTAGTTAGTTTTGGGAAAGAGTTCGTTAAGTTTACCTGCTTTCAGGTGTGGTGATGTATGAAGATACACTTCCTTCTGGAACACTGTGGGGATCAAAGATGAAATATGTTAGTCATTTTTGGAAGGGGGAGAGGCAGGTTCTTTTACTTTTATCTCCAGCCTCCTACTGATCTTTTCTTACTTCCTGTCTTATAGAGTATAGATAGTTAACAGCCCCTGTAGCCATTTCCAAGGACAGAGGAGAGTCCAATTTCCTTTATTTTTAGTTGCTGACATTTGTAGTCCTGGTTACATAATAGGAAAGCCCTGGCTATCTCAGATTTCTCTAAATTCAAGGCAGGCCTCAACCTGCCAGAATAAGGACTACACTACAGGGAAGGGAACAAATCAAGTGACATTTTCCTAATTCTATTCCCACACTGACAGCCTTCAAATGTACTTGCCCAGTATGGACCTCTAACTCTTCTCTAACTGCTTACTTGCCGTCTCCTTTTGGATGTCTAATAGGCACCTCAGAGTTAATATGTTCAAAAGCAAACTCCTGCTAATCTTCCCCTTCCCAAGTTTTCCCTATCTTGGTAAATGGCAACTTTAGTTGGCTAAGCCAAAGACCTTGGTATCTTCATTGATTCCTCTCTTAACATCTCACAACCCAGTCCAAACCACCAGCAAAAATTTTTAACTCATTCTTTAGAAACCCAGAACTTAAATTCTCACCAATTCCATTGTTATTATCAAGTTACTATGTCTTGGATGACTGCAGGTCTCCTAGTTTCTCCTCTTGCCACCCTTCCCTGAGTCTATGCACAACACAGCAGTGAGAGTGAGTCTTTTAAAGCTTAAGTCAGGTCATGTCATTCCTCTATTCAAAATCATCCAATGACTTCCAATTCACGCATATTAAATGATAACGTCCTTAAAAAGGCTTAGAAGGCCCCACATAGTCTGCTCCTTCTCTGCCCTGGATTTCTCCTTGTCCACTCTCCCTCTTGCTCATTCTGGTCCAGCCAACTGGCCTTCTGTTCCCTAAAGATACTATGCACGCTTCTACCTTAGGACCGCTGTTCCTGCTGTCCCTTCTCCTGGAAAGCTCTTCCTTCCATATACCTGCATGGCTTACTGCCTCACCACTTTTAGGTCTTTCATATAATGGTTATCTCTGAGGGAATCCCTGATCACCCAATGTACAACTGTAACCCCCACCCAAAGCATTCTTTACCCTTCCATTCATTAGTTTTTTCTATGGCACTTATCTGTTTACTCTATGTCTCTTCTCTCTTAACTGTAAGCTCTGTGAGGACAGATTTTTTTCTCTTATTCATGGATGTATCCTGGGCCCCAAACTGCATACAGTAGGTACTTGTTAGATATTTGTTAGGAATAAACAGATAAATTCTCCTTAATCTTTCTTATAGGGAAGGGAGGATGAAGCCCAGAGGCAGACAGCAGCTGCCTGTCTCTGGGGACTGTAGATGCAATATCGCCTTGGGTGTTTCTCTGCAGGACTGTCCTCCCTGGGGAACCCTCTTTGCCTTCCAGAACCTGAAACGTGGCTTTCATCAGCAGTGGAGCCCCGGGCCAAAGGGCTGTAGAGCTAAACAGGGGACTGGCCTGATGCAATGGTTACACAGAGATTAGCTGGAGACAGGACAGAGGGAAAGAGGCAGGGACCAATCTCAGGAGAAGGACAATACACTGGAGAGACCCCAAATGACTTCCCACACTTAAAGAGATTCAGGATGCTCTCTTCTGCAGGAGGCCTAGAGACCTCTGGGGGAAAGAAAAAACCCATGTCCTCTCTGTCCGTGGGCACCGCTTCTCCCAATGGCTGTGTCCGTTTCCTGAAGGTTCTGTCCACTGTTAAGAGTGCGGACTGGTTGTCACTGGGGTCCAGGAGCCCCAGCTGGCACTGAGACGCTGCCTCCAATACAGGGTTGGGGGTGGGGCCGCTGGTGGCAAAGCCGAGGCTGCAGCCTAAGCTATGGTCCTGCAGGCCTCTCGGCACGGGGGTGTGTCTTGCTGCTCCGCCTCCCACCAGACAGGCCCAACTCCGAGGCCTGAGGTCAACTGGAGAGAATAGAATAAAGCTCCCGAGAGCTAGCGGGCCCCTCTGCTGCGGGCAGGGGTGGGGTGATGCTGTCGTCCGAAGGAAGCAGGGTCTATAACACCTCTCCTGAATAAGGATTCTCTCCACCTCTCCTTCGGATCGCCACTACCTCCATTTTGGAGGGAGTGGTGCCACATCCTAAAGAGGGGATGACTCAACTTTGAGGGGACAACGTCACAAAGACGAAAGAGTAAAAGGTAGATGGGCGATCAGTACTAACCTCTCTCCTCAGATTCCGGCTCTGATTTTGGCTCTGTCGCTGCCACCCACTCATCTTCAACATGATATACTCTGTGTCTTAGACTCAAGTCTCTGACCTCGGTATCCCGGGAGCAGTGATCTTTTAACAGGACCTTGCCCTCCTCTCAGGGGCGGATCCAGAAGCCTACCAATCAGAAAGTGGCACGCCAGTTTTAGCTCCGCCTCATCTCGTACATCCTCCACTCAGGAGCTCCACGGCACCGCCCCCATCACTCCCTTCTTCTTGGGGGTCGACGTCTTGTTGGACCCGGAAGTGGCTTTGGGTCACGAGGCTCCACGGAGGAGGTGAGTGAGTCATGCGCGCGCGCGGAAGGAGAGAGCTGGAGGGGGGATGGGAGGAAAGGGGGGCGGGGATGATGCAATGTTTGGCAACCAGTGTCTGCGCGCACGCGCAGGAGACTACGAGGGTGGTGGGAGGTGCGGGCGGGGCGCCAGCTCCTAGCACCCAACGGCCCCAACGGCTTTCAACCGTGGCTGCCTCTAGTCTGACGAGTGAAACCTCACTGTATCTTGTCTTCCTCAGGAGCTCTTGGTCCGCCCACCTGGCATTGGCCCCCATTTTACCTCCTCCGTAAAGGGCTCCCACTTTCCTTGGCCCTTTCCCAGCTAATAATGGGCACAAAGCCTTTTAAACCTCCCTCCTTTTAAAGTTTGCATCCGTCCGCCAGGATTGTCTACATCTCCAGTCTTCTTAAAGGGGTCTGATCTTTTAGCCCTTAACTACCAAAAAAAAGGGACTGAGGTACTTGAGTCTCCTTGGTAGTCATTTTCAGCTCCTTTCAGAAAAGCACCCTTAACTTTTATCTTGGTAAAGTTTCTAATGAGCCCTCAGCATGCCAGAATTCATGTTCTTTTCCCGGTAGGCGGGATTCCGTTTCCCCACTCATCTCCCCTCATGGTGCTCTGGTGCCCTTCACCAAAGACCAAGACCTGTCCTTTTCACTGTACCAGACAGTAAGTCCTATAACTCCCTGATGTGAGGAGCTGGGCACAGGCCTCCTGCCTCCTAGGTGTTTGGGCTACACTAGAGCCTGGTTGCCCAGGACATTACATGCACTTGAGCGTGACTGCCTTGGACTAGGCTGCCAGAAAGTCAGATTCTAGCTTTAGCTGCCTCTCACTGGCCAGGGATCCCAGTCCAGCTACCTAATCTCTCTGTGCCTCACCATTCATCATTGAAAGATAAGACATGGCCGGTTTGGCTCAGCTGTTAGAGCATCGGCCAGCAGACTGAAGGGTCGTGGGTTCGATTTCTGGTCAAGTGCATGTGCCTGGCTTGCAGACTGATCCTCGGCCCCAGTTGGGGGCCTTGAGCCTTGGGAAGGAAACCAATCGCTGTTTCTGTCACCCTCCCTCCTTTCCACTCTCTAAAAACTAATGGAAAAATATCCTCAGGTGAGGGTTAAAAAATAAAAGAGAAGTTGTGAAGGTAAAATGAGAGAACTATGAACTTGAAAATAGCTTGAACAAAAGTGAAAGACACCATGCAAAATTCGAAGTATTTTTCTTATGCCATTAGGTAGAAAACAGAGGCCATGTGGTGGCCTGTTACACATCCTGTCACACTTTCATGGGGACAGCCAGAGCTTGTCTAAGTAGAAACTGTCAGAAGGCTGGAGTAGCTGGATGGCAGGTTTGGTGATGATCTGACAGTGACAGGTCCTTGGCCAGGCCTACTCTGTTGCTCCAGTCCTCCATTTCCCCTCTGTAAATGGGTCTGGGGGTGGGTTGGACTAGATGCCCTCTCCTGGTTCAAAGACATGACCATATTGTCAGTGACAGGCAGAGGTCATGTGACTTGACAGGCCGAGGTCGTGTTGTGACATGCTGACCTGGGGAGGTGGGTCAAGTCCCACCCAGCATACTACTTGGGAAGCCTGAGGGGCGGGGCGGGGCAAGTCGCGACTTTCATCTTTGGGGGCTGGCCCCTCCTGGACCTGGCATTCCTGACTCCCCCAACAGATTGTGGGTTTGGAAAGGGCCCTCACCGGGGAAGTCTGGGATTGGTCATCAGTGGCCTGGGAAGAAGCTCAGATCCTTCCGCGGAGGGCGGGGGGGCCGCGTGGGGTGTTTGTTCTCTTGGGGATTAATGGGGGGTTGTGGGGGAGGGGTAGGCGCGCTCCCGCATGCGCACTGCGGCCCCTCCTGTTGGCTCGTCGTTGTCCGCTGGGCGGGGGCCCGGCCCCGCCCCTCTCCCGTCCGGGCAGCGGCGGCGGCGGCGGCGGCGACGGCGGCAGCGACGGCGGCGGCGGCGGCAGCAGCCTGCGCGGTGCCTTCTGGGAACGGAATCCCCAGGGCTGCCCCTGGCCCCCATGGCGCATGCGCGGGAGGCCGCTCGGTGATCCGCGGCAGCGGCGGCGGCGCTTCCTGCTAGGACCGGCTGGGGCCGTACCGGAGGCTCGGGCTCCACCGACCCTCCTCCCACTCCCTCCCACTCACCCTCTGGGCCGCGACTGCGCAGGGCGGGGCCGGCCGAACCATGGGCCGCGGTGAGTGCAGGGCCCGGCCCCCCCACTCCGCCCCTCCCCCTCCCCTCCCCTTCAGTCCCTACCCTCTGCCCCCTTCGCGTCCTCTCTGCCCCTTTCCCTGGCCCCATCCCCACTCCCCCGCCCTCACCTACTCCCACCGTTTCCCCCTCTTAACTGCTTGACTTTTGCCTTCTTCACCTCCCTCCTCTCAGTGCTTTGCCCACCCTCCGCCCGCCCTCTCCCCAAGTTCCTTCCTACTTCGTGAGCCTTCCCCTCCTCCCCAAGCCAAGGGAAGCAGGCTGGGTGACAGGGAGCCTTGTTATGAGAGGGAAAGTTTTGAAGCTGCCAGTGTGGGGTGGAAACGATGGTGAGATTGGGGAGGATACTTGCAGGTTTGAGGGGCGACCACACATATTAGAGAAGAATCCCTGTTGTAGCTAAGTCTGTGGAATAGGAGATGCTGAATCCCCTTGCCTTAGGCTTGGGGGAAAATCAGGAGCGTCTCAGGATCCTAGAGGAAGACAGGGCTGTGATTCCAACCTTTCTTAAGAAGACCCAAATGAACTAGATCAGCAGGGGGGGGGGGAGAGTTCTGTTGGTACCACCGGAGCAGACAGTTGGTCAATGGCCTGGTGACCTGTGGGGCAATCTGTACCTTTTATGTGATATTCCTGGGGGTGGGGGAGTGGGAACATCAGGGGCCAGACACTCTGGGAAACTTCCTACTGGCTTGGCATTATGAGAATTTGCCCACACTCCTGCGTGAAGTATTCTATCCTTGAAGGGACAATAGGACCCTGCTCTTTATAAGTCTAGGGATTGGGCTGTGTGTGATTCCTTGGTCCCTGGGAGTTGAGGCCTAGGGACTGTCCATGTAAAGGTTGGTTGTGGACTCAGCCAGATCCTTGAGATTCTTATGGGCACTTGCTTCATTTAAGGATCTTTCCCTTGAGAATATCTTGAACTGTTGTGCTCTCTTGAGTTGGGCAGAATCCTGACAGTCCCTTCTTTCTCCTGTCTTGCAGGTGTGGGCTAAGCCGGCGGCCCCGGCTTTAGACTGGACCCCACAATGTTTGCAGAGATGTTCAGGTAGCCATGGTGGGATGGCAGAGGGTCCCCCCCTCATTCTCTCGCCCAGCTCTCTGAGGACGATAGAATGAGTTCACTTGGGTCTCCCCACCTTTGCCTTCCTGGAGTGCTCCCTCAGGTACCCTACCCAGTTTAATCCTCCTAATGCCCACATGGTTGTCTGTGTTATCAGGCACGTGGGAGCTGATTACACACAATGAATGGGGGCAATGAGAGCGGTGGAGCAGACAGACCTGGGGGCCTTGTGGCCACATCTGTCCCCATCGGCTGGCAGCGCTGTGTTCGAGAGGGTGCTGTGCTCTATATCAGGTATAGATCCTCAAAGTTTCCCGATTTCTATCTCCAGGCCTTTCAATTGCCTGATCTCTCTCTCCTTTGCCACCTCTTAAAGCTCAGCTCTCTGGTACCCTGTTGCTCTCCTGTTCCTCCTTCCTTCCTCAGCCTTTTTGCTTGGTTTCTTTGAATCTGTTCTCCCTTTCTTTCTCTTCCCACATACCTTACTTACCCTTTGCCCTCCCTAGGAAGGTCTTTGATTAAGGAACTATCATTTAGGAGTGTTTCTTAATTCAATGTCAAGTAATCCCTTACTCTAACCCTGTTCACTCCCAGCCCAAGTGGCACAGAGCTGTCTTCCTTGGAGCAAACCCGGAGCTACCTCCTCAGCGATGGGACCTGCAAGTGCGGTCTGGAGTGTCCACTCAATGTTCCCAAGGTCAGAGTGATGAGGGGAGCCAGAGAGTACAGGGATAAGCCTAGAGACTTAAGTAAATCACTGCCCATGGTGTCTTTGTCACAGATTCCACCCCCTCAGGGTCCCTAGCCATGCCTTCTACCTTACAGGTTTTCAACTTTGACCCTTTGGCCCCGGTGACCCCGGGTGGGGCTGGGGTGGGGCCAGCATCTGAGGAAGACATGACCAAGCTGTGCAACCATCGTCGGAAAGCCGTTGCCATGGCAACCCTGTACCGCAGCATGGAGACCACCTGCTCACACTCTTCTCCTGGTGAGTCTTCTCTACTTTACAGGAGACTAAGGCCAGTTTAAGGGCCTGGAAGAGGAATGATGGGAGGAATTTTATGGGAGGGAGCAAGAAGGGTGGAGTGGGGATCTGCTTGGTGAAAGGATGGCACAGGGAGGTTGGGAATTTATGAGGCTAACCCATCATTTCTCATTTATTGCAGGAGAAGGAGCGAGCTCCCAAATGTTCCACACTGTGTCCCCAGGGCCCCCCTCTGCCCGTGCTCCCTGTCGAGTCCCTCCCACAACTCCACTTAATGGGGGTCCTGGCTCCCATCCCCCAGAACCACCCTCAGTTCCACAGGCCTACCCTTCTCTAGCAGGCCCTGGGGGGCTCTTCCCACCGCCAAGGCTTCCTGATCCAGTCCCCTCTGGAGGCAGTAGCAGTCCCTGTTTCCTCCCAAGGGGCAATGCTCCCTCTCCAGCTCCACCTCCTCCACCTGCCATTAGCCTCAATGCCCCCTCATACAACTGGGGAGCTGCCCTCC